TCTTCCTTGAGGCAGAATATACCTCCTAGTCACTACCATTTGAACTAAAATTATTTGGTAAAATACCTTTCAGTAGTTTTCAGAGGGAAAAAGAAAAGGGACCGACCGATCAAGTTCTTGGTATTCGCGGTTACCTTCTCCTCAAGGCATCTCTATTTTTTCTTTGGATTGACTGTCAATCTAAAAAATGCAGACAATGAGAAACAAACGACCGCTTGAGACGAGTAGTAGTCTGTCTTTCTCAGTCTTGGCTAGAAATATCCGTCGATAGTTGGAGCTTTGGGTACTGTACTTCTGATGCTGTACTGTGTAGGCATGACAAATTCAGTGCGAACGGTTTTGATAGAATGAATGCTCTATATAGGAATTATGCTATGTAAATTAGTTGACTCTAAATTTGCAATGACGCCGTAGGGATGCTTCTTTGAGAACCGACTTTTAACTTTATTAGCTTTGACCCGATTCTTCTGCTTTTTAAGAACTTGTGAAACATTCAAATTCATTGCATCGGTAAATGAAATTACTTTTACCGCTTTGACTAGAACGTTGCGCACTAATAATGCAAATTTCCGCTTAACAATTAATATAGGTTCTGTCAAAGTCACAGCTGGTGATATATTTCTGCGGGGGAACCAAGGCCACTTCCTGAATTCATGAAGACATTGGATCTTTCCCTCATCAATGAAAGCCTCAACGCCATTCCAACGTTTTTCAGCTTTCAGTCAGCAATCACCTTTCTTGTCTCAGGCATGATTGACACTTGATCTTCATTGAACCACAAGACAACATGATTAGCAGAATTGTTATCGCAAACCCTTAAAGATGGTGAACTCTTGGTCTCCTACGGATAACACTCGCTCTTGGTTTTTCCAGCCCCCGAGATTTACTATAGGCACTGTCTGAGAAAACCGTTGTTTGGGTTGCTATCAGAGATAAACCTATATATAATACTTCTGTAATTCTTTCACTTGATCCTAGTGTAAATTTAGTGCTCCATGACCAATCCGATTGCTTTCCTATTTGGTCGAAGAATGTTTCCTCTATGATTTCGAATTATTCAACTACAGCTCACCTTCTGGATTTAGGTAATTTGTTAACATCCATGATTTGATTGAAAGGGTAGTTTGGCAAAGCTTTGATCATCCTACAGATACCCTTCTTCCTTTCATGAAGCTCGGGTTGGACCTAAAAATCGGTTTGAACCGGTTTCTAACATCTTGGAAATCCGACAAGGATCTGGCACGCATCAATTGCTCATATCCGATGAACCCTACGGGATACCCCTCAGTTGGTCCTTATAAGGTATGAATTTTTTTATCTTCCTATCATTTCTTGAGCATGACTATATTCATTCTACAATGAAGAACCATATGGTTCATCATTTTCAGATGCAGCTGGAGGAAGGGAATACTTATTTGAAGGGATAAAATCACCATAAGTTCAAAACTATGACTAGATTTGCAATTATTCCGTAAGCTTTTGATTTGGTCAATCTAGTCCCTCAACTTTCCATAACAAAGTCAAATCAGTCATTTGGTACTACTATTCGAAGTTTTCATAATAATACTATTGCCTAGATTTTAGTATATCTTTTCCTTTCTAAACATTTCCTAAATCAATAAAAAAATATGTTTATTGACTTTTTACTTTTTGGTCTTTATATAAGGATAGGCATATCTTTAGGTTAATTATCTCTATGTTAGAAATGTAAAACTTCATTTAGAGTTGTACGAGGTTGATATTCCTGCTATTTTAAGTCTAAGTGTTTTAATAAGATATCTAGAAATGATACATGTAGATACTTGTACTTATACTAATCTAAATCTTGTTTTTGATTTTTTAGATAGATAACATTTTCAAGTTTTTGTGTTTCATGTTTTCTTAATTAAATTTTTTAAATAGATAAAATGTAGATAATGGTTGGGGAGAATCTATAAATTAAAGAACCATATTGAGCAAAATAAAATAGTTCATGGATTGAATTGAACGAGAATGACGTTTAGGGACCAAATTTAATATTAAGTGAAAGTTCAAGAATTAATTGTGCCATTATCCCTAATTAAATGTACTCAATAGCAAATAACAATGAGCGATGATATCCCATTAAAATAGACTTATCGGGGTATTTCAAAAGGAAAAGGGGACGGATGTTGACCGGACAGTGAATTGATGGTACATTTTCAACTGGGGTCCAATTTTGATAGCGAATTGAATTCACAATGGTGGTTATGTAGAGAAAATATTGGGTACCGTGCCATGTCAGCAAAATAATAGTCCATTCAGCTATGGACACGTGTTGCCCGAGCCTACTGTCAGGGATATTTTCTCCTGTGTGGGGGCCCACTTTCTCTCTCTCCCCTCCTGACCTCACGGGACTCCCTCTTCGCTTTCTCTCTGCCGCTCCCTCTGCAATTCCTCATCTTCGCCATGGAAACCAAAAGCGGACGACGACGGTGTGCCTCTTAACAGCTCGTCCAAATCGGCGTCACCGACGTCTTCTCCATCCCCGGCACCGGAGCGCGAGCCCGAGGCTCGCGGCCGCCATGGCCACGGAGCTTGACCTCGAGTAACCATGGTCGCGGGCGGGCTTGGCGGCGACGGGGATTTTCAGCGCGAGGTTCCCGACCGTGAGGCACACGAAGGGACAAGTATCCATCGGCGGTGAGCCCGTTGCCGGAGACTCCGAGGGTCCTCTTCGCCGTGGCCGACAATGGCGGTGGCTAGGGCTCGAGGTCAGACAAGGGAAAAGGAGTGAAGCGGAGGAGAGAGAGAGAAGGGGAACGAGAGAGACCGAGAGAATAGAGGTGGGCTGAAAATTTGACTGACACAGGTGGGTCCGGCGACACGTGTCCATCACTGAATGGACTATTATTTTGCTGGCATGGCACCACTCGGGGTACCCAATATTTTCCCGAAAGTTTGACTGACACAGGTGGGTCCGGCGACACGTGTCCATCACTGAATGGACTATTATTTTGCTGACATGGCACCACTTGGGGTACCCAATATTTTCTCGGTTATGTATGGTGGTTCCTCTCATCATTTAAAACCTCAGCTACATTGAGAAGTTTCTGTTTTATTGGTGGTCAAACAAAAGCCATATCTCTGCTTTCTTGCCTGATAACATGAGTACAACATGAACCCTCGAAGAGGGTCATTACACATCTTGTTTTTTCATGTCTTAATCTCCGAAGAAAGAAAATTCGCTCTCAGTTTCTTCAGCCCCTGTAATTCAAGCTTGCATTACCTGGGGATCCGGTACTGTGGACAACTGGACCGAACTGTCGTTTGGGTTGCTAACGGAGAAAATCTCGTGAGTGATAATACTTCAGGAGCTCTTGCATTTGATCGTTATGGAAACTTAGTGATCCACGAAAAGAATGGGAACTTTCCGATTTGGTCGACCAATGTTTCGTCCATGGCTTTAAATAACTCTACTACTGCTCAGCTAGTGGATTCAGGTAACTCTAATCAAAGTCGTAGTTCCTTATTTGGACCAAAAGAGGCTTCCATGGAGGGCAAGGAAGCTTTAGATAAGAACACATTTAAGAGAGTAGATATTGATGGGGTCACGAAAAGAGGTTCAATAAGAAATGAATGATCTGTCTTCTGTTTCCACCATTTTTCGTGAGAAGCCCTGGTTAGAGTTTCTCCACGTTACCTTTTTATCAGCCCTTCATGACTATATGATACACACTTGCGCTAATGACATATGCAAAATGATAATAAGCAAATGAAAGAATAAATATACAATTACATAAATAGCAACCGTTGATAGATTGTGGACATTTCTGTTCCGTGCGGTGGCCTTCTTCTTGCCCCTCCTCACATTGACAAGAGTAACCATCGATCATCTTGTCTCGCTTGTTGGTCAGTTATACACCTTAATGGAAGGCATTCACTCCAGATTTCGGAAAATTTACAGAACCTGTTGACATTGACCAGTGAACCAAACCTCTCTGCATCTGCAAATTAGAAGCACAAACAGTGAAGAGATTCCATATATTGCAGCAATTGTGATCAAATCAAAAGAATCATTTTAATATGGTAGCTAAGTTCTGTCATATGCAAACAAGAATTATAGCCAAGCATAAGGGGCTAATCTTAAAAGGGTTGTAGGAAATTAAATGGCATTGGAACTCTTTGACTCTAGTCTTGAAAAGGACCTAAGAAATGTACTTTTTGGTGGTAGCAACTAGGCCTTTCAACTTCATTCTGAGCCACAAATGTTACCTGAAATTGTGGATGTTAGAGCAATTTAGAGTAGCCAATTACCACTTCCATTAGATTTCTCTGCTACTTCTTTTCACACTAATAATTACTTGATAGTTAGCATGGACAATACAATGCACCTTTCACTCTTTCTTGGCAACTTAGTGTAGTTAATGAGTTAAAAGAGGCGAGCCTTCTTTTTTTCTCTCAGATTCTACAATGAGCTTATGAGCAGAAGATTCAGGAGGCGAACTTTCAGGCTCGACTAACTGTTTCTATATCGAAATCATAGTCAATGGAAATCGACATGGTATCCATCTCCATCACAACAGCTTGAAACCAACAACTTGCTGCTCACCATCATACGAAAGCACTATGAAAGAAGCTGCACATTGCCCTTCCTCTTTCTAATGTCAAGTTCTCTTTCCTCACAGTGTGATCAGCGGCGTGAGATCCACCCAGAACCCTGTTCTTTCACCTTAAACCAATTCAAAGTGATAGCAAGTACACCTCGAGCGACTTCGTTCGACCACATTGATTAAAGGGATTAGGCTGCTGGGAAGGGAAAGGCGAGGCGAATCGCTGAAGAACGTGACCATTACTTGAATTTACATGAAGTAGGAATTATTTTCTGGTTTGATGATCGAGAAATGTCGACCAAAAATATCAAGCTTAGAAAGGGCAACGTCACTGTCACAACTTGCATCACATTTACATGGCGGACCAAAAATGACAACCACTTGCATAAATTAATGAGAGAGGTGGATCCTCACTAATAAAGACCTCAACTACACTCCACAGTGCTCGAGGTATCATTCACTCAGTCACTTTTATTGCCTCAGAAATCATACCATAGCATCCTCAAATGAAAAGACAACATGAACACGGAAAGGGTGTTGGTATATGCCCTGTTTCTTCCTTTTCTGCTTCAGTTAAGTACTTGCTTGGACGTCCTAAACCAAAACAACACTATCAAAGATGGCAATCTCTTGGTCTCCAGTGGCAAAACATTCGCTCTCGGTTTCTTCAGCCCGGGAAATTCTAGCCGCCGTTATGTTGGAATTTGGTATTATCGAGTTTCTGAGCAAACCGTTGTTTGGGTTGCTAATCGGGAGAGACCAATCAGTGGCACTTCTGGAGTTCTTTCAATTGATTCTGATGGAAATTCGGTGCTCCATGAGAAAAATGGAAGCTTTCCTGTTGGGTCGACAAATGTTTCTTCTGCATTATCAAATTATTCTTCTCCAGCTCGGCTTATGGATTCAGGTCATGTAGTTCGAGTTCAAGATTTTAGCAAAAGGGTGATATGGCAAAGCTTTGATTATCCTACAGACACTATGCTTCCTTTCATGAAACTCGGGCTGGACCTCAAAACCGGTTTGAACCGGTTCCTAACATCATGGAAGTCCCCGGAAGATCCGGCACCGGGCAATTACTCCTATAGGATTGATCCAACGGGCTACGCTCAATTGTTCCTGTACAAGGACGGGGATCCGTACTGGCGTTCCGGATCATGGGTCGGAGATCGGTGGAGTGGCATACCCGAAATGACTCGCAATTTCATCTTCAACGTAAGCTTTGTAAATAACCCAGATGAGGTTTCTGTAATGTATGGCATCATCAACACGTCAATCATCTCAAGAATGGTGGTGAACGAATCGGGGTTGGTTCAACGATTCACATGGCATGGCCAGGACCAGCGGTGGATAGGATTCTGGTATGATCCGAAGGACCAGTGTGATTATTACGGCAAGTGCGGGCCCAACAGCAACTGCAATCCGTATAAAGCAGGACAGTTCGAGTGCACATGCCTGCCAGGGTTCGAGCCCAAGTCCCCGGGCGATTGGTACCTAAGGGATGGATTGGCCGGGTGCATAAGGATGCCGGGGGCATCGGCATGTCGAAATGGGGAAGGATTCGTGAAGGTGCCGCTTGTGAAGGTGCCGGACACTTCAAAAGCACACACCAACATGAGCTTTAGCTTGAAGGAGTGTGAGAAGGAATGCCTGAGGAATTGCTCTTGCACAGCTTATGCTAGTGCCAATGAGAGCCTGGGAGGTTTCGGGTGCCTCATATGGCATGGTGATCTAGTCGATACGAGAACATTCACTGATTCAGGTCAAGATTTATATGTACGGGTCGATGCAATTGAGTTAGGTACTCCTGCTTCAGCTGTTACTAGTTGTACTTTTGCTAATGTAATGTACCTCCCGCATTGCCATTTCTTTATTCCATTAGCATTGTCAAGCAAATCATGAATCAAACTTGAGAACAGGTTAAATTCTTGATCATAAGGAATCACATCCATGATTTTAGAAACCAAGTTTGAGCTTTTGCACGGTATAAATTGTGTATCATTGGAGATTCATTTGGTGATTTCTGGTTTCAAATTGACGTTGAGAGAATTTTTCATTCTATACTTTGCTCAAGCACATTCGATGTCATTGAATCTGAAATGCGGTGTTGTACTTTCCTTTCAGCTCGTTATAGGAAAAAAACAAGTTTCCTCAGTAAAAAGGCGAGGGTTGCAATAATTTTGGTTTCAGTTTTGACAGCGCTACTGCTCACCAGCTTCTTCTCCTACTGCTTGGTGATCAAGAAGAGAAACGGTGCGTTGGTTAGTCCTCAACAAGAGTAAGCTTTGTATATTTCTTTCCGGAAAATTCGTCTACTAAAATTAATCACCTCTTATTGTTCACCAATTAATTAAGCAAACAAATTTTAGTTGGTTCAGTCTTGGGACTATTCTTAGCTATAGGAAGTTAAGAGAGTAATTTTTGTGCTTTTATTTGAGCGATTCCGAATTTAAGAACCTTGAACCAAAGAAAGCATGATGATGCCAGTTCAGTTCTTCATGCAGCATGCATTCCAACAGTGAAACTAAACCAGAAGTTTCAGGGTACAAGAGACGAAGAAATCATACAGTACATCAGTATATTTACCAGTAAAACAGATAAAAAAATGTTGCGAAGATCTTTTCAAGCTTACAACTTTCATTTGGTTTAACGAAATGAATTCCTGAATGAAGAATCTAACAACTTCCAAGGTTGTATTGAGCATTTATGCAGTTGTCTTGGAAATAGATCGCAGAAGCCAAAATCCACTTGTGAGAGATACGACCAATTCAACATATTTCGAGGGCTCTCCGAGTGTAAAAGACTGCGATGATGAACCTAGAGGAAACAGAGATGTGCCGCTCTTTGATCTGAGCACAATAGCTTTGGCAACAAACAATTTCTCCTTCCTCAATAAGCTCGGACAAGGCGGTTTTGGATCAGTGTACAAGGTAAACTTCCATTGCACAAAAAAGCTACTTCGAAAAATTGATAGAGACTTGCAAATTGGAAATTAATTTGACAGGGCGTTATGGACAATGGAACGGAAATAGCGGTCAAAAGACTATCGAAACATTCGGGACAAGGAGTTCAAGAATTTAAGAACGAAGTCCAGTTGATTGCAAAGCTCCAACACCGCAACCTGGTGAGAATACTAGGCTGCTGTGTCGAAGAAGATGAGAAAATGCTAATTTACGAGTATTTGCCGAACAAAAGCTTGGATTGCTTCCTTTTCGGTACATCCTCTTCTCTCCCGCTAGATAGAATACTCCGATTTCCTAGATCAACACACGACGACCAACAATGGTTTGTTGACATCTTGATCTTGGTCCAGACGAAACGAAAAGATCGTTGCTAGATTGGAGAAAACGGTTCGAAATCGCATCCGGGGTGGCTCGAGGACTCTTGTACTTGCACCAAGATTCAAGGCTCAGGATCATCCACCGAGACTTAAAGGCCAGCAACGTCCTACTCGATGCTGCAATGAATCCGAAGATATCAGACTTCGGTATGGCTAGGATATGCGGCGGGGACCAAATCCAGGGAAACACAAATCGAGTAGTCGGAACATAGTAAGAATTTTGGCCTTCGCATTGCTTTACGTGCTCATTGAGTCCAAGAACCTCAACTCAACTAATCAATCAAAACCCCTTTTTATCTTCATTTTGGCTGTGGCAGCGGGTACATGTCGCCAGAGTACGCAATGGAAGGTATATTTTCGATAAAATCTGATGTCTATAGCTTCGGAGTTCTGCTATTGGAGATCATCAGTGGCAAAAGGAACAGTGCATATTACCATGAAAATCCATCTTCCAATTTGGTAGGCCATGTAAGTATTGGAACTCTTAATAAGTACAAGAAAAGCACCAGACTCAGACATAATACATAGCCGGAAATACTTAGTCATATGTTACTTGTTCACAACCCGATCGCAGGTATGGGAGCTATGGAAGGAAGGAAGCTGCGACGACATTGTCGACGAGTCGATGGGTGATACATGCTCCAAGGAGGAGGCCTTGAGGTGCATCCAGATCGGTCTTTTGTGCGTGCAAGAATTCACGGACGATAGGCCGAACATGTCCGCTGTTGTGTTCATGTTGGCAAATAGCGATGTGGTTCTCGCATCCCCGAAACGACCTGCATACGTTTTCAAAAGCAAGCAACATGGCGGGAATCTATCTACGAGCAGCGGAACCACTTCTGCGAACCTCGTAACCATTTCGATGGTTGAAGGCCGCTAGCTTTGCCGTTCTCTTGCCCTGGATTAGTCTTTGGACAAGAATTCACTTGAAAGTCTATCGCAATAGCTCTCGAGATATTGCCGAACTCGGCATCGATCTGCAATCCTAATTTGTTAGAACCTGTAATCAAAATGTTTGGTGACCCTTGATGTATTGTTGATGTTGGATGCTCTATAGTGAAAGATAAGGTTGTAGCGCTGCTAACCCTCTTTCGTTTTCATTTTATTTTGGGTTAATACCACGAAAAATCTTAAATTGGTACTAATTTTTTGACCACGAAAAATCCCAAACTAGTACATCTGTGACAAATTTACCCTGAACTAATTTTTTGACCACCAAAAACCCTAAACCGGTATATTTGTGATAGATTTACCCTATGTTAAATTGAATTAATATAACAAAAAACCACAAACTATTACACCTATGACAAACGGAGGGTAAAACCCCAAACCGAAATACCCTTCAACTGGTACGTGTCATTCAACTCAGAAATTTAATGATAAAATTTAATGGAAACTAACGAAGGGTAAAATTGTCACAAGTATTCCAGTTTGGTGTTTTTGGTGATCAAAATATATGTTGAGAGTAAATTTGTTACAGGTGTATCAGTTTGGAGTTTTTCGTGGTATTAATCCTTTTATTTTCAATGATATCCACACTAACCCTAAATTTAAAAAGGAGAAAAAAAGAGGGAACAAGCCATAGTCACAATCTGCTAATTTGACAGGTGGCTTTTCCGACGTCGCTTAGGTAATAGGCAGGCGCAAATCTTCCAAAGATTAGAAAGCAAAAAAAGGTTTATTATTAAAAAATGGAAAAAAAAAGGCTGAAATTGACTTAAACAAAGTCATTTGCGTGCAAGACAACAAATTTAAACTAACCCAAAAAAAAATTAAAATAAATCGATTTGATCTATATCGACGGCCCAACTACCGTAGTACTATAATTTTTCAATTCTCGTGGATCACCTTCTAAACTTTATCTTTTATTTTTTTATTATTTTTCTTGACATTGTGAAAGACTGAGGCGTGAATTTTTATTTTCTATCATTGTCCTCACCTTTAGCCATCACTTTCTTGATAGATGGCAACATGATTTCGTACGGACTAAACCGAGTCTCTATACTCTGTAATGCCATCCGTGAATCTTTAGTTTGTTTAATGTAATCTCAAAATTATTGCTATATGTTCAATCACGTGAAACTTTTTGACGCCCCATGTGACCGCACATTTTTGTCCCTCGGCTCCGCCTCCTTGACCAGTAACTTCGAGTTGCCGTGTGATATGCATCCCAACCAATTTTTCGCTTTTGAATTATGAATGTCCGCTTCTTAATTAGTGCCCGGCGTTTCTATATGTCATGGTCCCATGATGTGGTTATCACCTAAAATACCTTCTCCCTACGACCGCTTCCGCTTGACCACGATGGCATGAACGCGGTCATTTCTACGCAAGACAGTGACCCCCTCCTGATTTGTCCCTTGAGGTATACAGCCACCACCAAGAGGTGATACCAATTCCTAGATATTTGTAGTAGATCTCAGAGAGAGATATAGAGAAAATCTGCGAGGGTAGTGACACTGTATAGAGTATTTATGTTCAATACATGTCTGAGTATATCCCAACCAGGGACATTACCAAACTCCGTCCGAGCATATCTCATTCACAAACATAATCAATCTCCATAAGAATAAACATTTCATCATTGACCGTCGTAACTCAAGCCCTTGAAAAAGTTTAACTTGTAGATATTTTTATTACGTAAAAAAAAAATTGTTGGCATCATAGAAAAACTGATTGTGGATTTCGTTTGTCTCTTTTATCTAATTAATTCACATCAAATCAAAGTCATAATATATGGTAGGAGAGAACCTCTTTACACTACCATGCGGACTCCGATGTGCTCTCCATGTCATATCGACGTCACTAATCTACACCAGTCCAAAAAGCGTGGGATGAAGGCAAGAAAAAAGCAAAGGAAAATCGGCTTTTTCTTCTTCTCTTTTTGGTCAAATTTTCAATTTCTTCCCTATATTCTTTTTTGCTAGAACAATTATTCCCCAATTTAAGTATAGACCGAAAATGTGCTTTTTCGGGTGAATAATATTGGCTTGAAATTGGAAAAATTACCAAAAAAACAAAGTCATAAACATATTACGATTGTGCCAATTTAGTCATAAACCTTTTTTTGCCAATTCAATTCTAAATCTTTTGCATTTATGCCAATTCAGTCCATCCAACAGATGCTAACATGGAAAATTACCAGATCTCGGCGAGGCCATGGCCGCCTTCGCTCACGTCGCCAAGGCCTCGGTGGCCATGGGCGAAGGCGGCCATGGCCTCACTCATCGCGGGCGAGACCGAGTTTGCCCCCGATTGGCGAGGCCACCTTGCGCCTGGATTGTGAGGAGTGGCCGTGGCGAGGCCAGCCACGAGCAAGGCCGACTTCGCCCGTGGCCAACGAGGCTGGCCTCGACCGGACCTGGGCGAGGCCAAGCAAGGGTCGTGACCCTCGCCGACGGCCAACAAGGGCTTCACAGCCCTTGCCTAGTGGCCAGCGAGCCTCGCCAACAATGTGGGGGGAAAAGAAGAAAGAAGGAAGAAAAGGAAAAAGGAAAATAAATAAATAAATAATTCGAAAAAGATAAAATATTATTAAAAATTATCTACGTCAGCGTCGGCCGAATGCTTGGCTCGACTACGCTCTGTGGTATTTGAGGTATCATTCACTCACTCACTTTTGTTGCCTCAGACATCATACCATAGTATCCTCAATAAAAAGAAAACATGAGCACAGAAAAGGGGTTAGTATATGCCCTGCTTCTTCTTTTTCTACTTCAGATAAGTACTTGCTTGGACATCCTAAACCAAAACAATACTATCAAAGATGGCAATCTCTTGGTCTCCAGTGGCAAAACGTTCGCTCTCGGTTTCTTCAGCCCGGGTAATTCTAGCCGCCGTTATGTTGGAATTTGGTTTTACCAAGTTTCCGAGCAAACCGTTGTTTGGGTTGCTAATCGAGAGAGACCAATCAGTGGCACTTCGGGAGCTCTTTCAATTGATTCTGATGGAAATTTGGTGCTCCATGAGACAAATGGAAGCTTTCCTGTTTGGTCCACAAATGTTTCTTCTGCATTATCCAATTATTCTACTACAGCCCGGCTTATGGATTCAGGCAATCTAGTCCTGGTTCAAGATTCTAGCGAAAGGGTGATATGGCAAAGCTTTGATTATCCAACAGACACCATGCTTCCTTTCATGAAAGTCGGGTTGAACCGCAAAACCGGTTTGAACCGGTTCCTAACATCATGGAAGTCCCCGGAGGATCCGACACCCGGCAATTACTCCGGTGGGATTGACCCGACAGGGTATCCTCAATTTTTTCTGTACAAGGATGGGAATCCGTACTGGCGTGCCGGATCATGGACTGGAGATCGGTGGAGCGGCGTACCCGAAATGACTCGACATTCCGTCTTCAACATAAGCTTTGTAAATGACCCAGACGAGGTTTCTATAATGGATATCGTCATTAACGCATCAATCATCACAAGAATGGTGGTGAACGAATCGGGGTCGCTCCAACGATACATATGGCAAGACCAAGATCGGCAGTGGATAGAATACTATTTCGCTCCGAAGGACGAGTGCGATTATTACGGCAAGTGCGGGCCCAACAGCAACTGCAATCCGTATTACGCGGGCCAGTTGGAGTGCACATGCCTGCCAGGGCACGAGCCCAAGTCCCCGGGCGATTGGTACCTAAGAGATGGATCGGCGGGGTGCGTAAGGAGGGGAGGGGTGTCAGTGTGTCGAAGTGGGGAAGGATTCGTGAAGGTGGCACGTGTGAAGGTGCCGGACACTTCAAAAGCACATGCCAATATGAGCTCGAGCTTGAAGGAGTGCGAGGAGGAATGCCTGAGGGATTGCTCTTGCACAGCTTATGCTAGTGCCAATGAGAGCCGGGGAGCTTCCGGTTGCCTCATATGGCATGGCGATTTAGTCGATACAAGAGCATTTGGCGATTCAGGTCAAGATTTATATGTACGGGTGGATGCCATCGAGTTAGGTACTCCTGCTTCTGCTACTCTATGTTACTAGTACCACTTTTGTTAATGTGATGTATCTCCCGCAACATAATTTGTTTCATTAAATTAGCATTGTCAAGAAAATGACGAATCGAACTTCAAAACAGATTAAATTCATGAGCATAAGAATTCACATCCATGATTCTAGGAACCAAGTTTGAGCTTTTGCATCGCATAGACTGTGTATCGTTTGAGATCTGCTTGGTGATATCTGATTTCAAGTTGAGGTTGAGAGAATCTTTCATTCTATACTTGGCACAAGCACATTCGAGTTCATGAATCTGAAACACTGTGTTGTACTTTCCTTTCAGCTCGTTATAGGAAAACAAGATCCCTCAGCCAAAAGGCGAAGGTTGCGATAATTCTGGTTTCGATTTTGACAGCTCTACTGCTCGCCGGCTCCTTCTCGTACCGCTTGGTGATTAAGAAGAGAAATGGTGCGTCACTTAGTCCTCAACATCAGTACGCTTTTTAATATATTTTCCAGTTAATTCGTCTGCTAAAATTGATCACCTCTTATTGTTCACCAATTAATAAAGGATACTACTTGGTTCACTCTTGGAACTACTCTTAGCTAGAGGAAGTCAGTTCCAGAGTAAATTCCATATTTTAATTTGATCAATTCCGAATCTAAGAACCTCGAACCAAAGAAAGCATGATGATGCCAGTTCAGATCTTAATGCAGCATTTCAACAATGAAACTAAACCAGCACAAGGCCAGTATCAGGATACAAGAGATGAAATCATACAGTACATCAATATATTTACATAGGAAAACAGATATAAAAATGTTTGCGAAAGATCTTATTAAGCTTGTAAATTTCATTTGGTGTAACAAAATGAATTCCTGAATGAAGAATTTCACAAATTTCTCCAAGGTTGTCATGGCATTTATGTGGTTGTCTTGGAAACAGATCGCAGAAGCCACAATCCACCGATAATTGATATGTCGAATTCAACATATTTCGAGGGCTCTCGGAGTGTAAAAGACCGCGATGATGAAACCAGAAGAAACAGAGATGTGCCGCTCTTTGATCTGAGCACCATAGCTTCGGCAACAAACAATTTCTCCGTCCTCAGTAAGCTCGGTCAAGGCGGTTTTGGATCAGTGTACAAGGTAAACTTCCATTACACAAACAAGCTACTTAGAAAAATTGAAACAGATTTGCAAATTGGAAAATTATTGACAGGGCGTTATGGACAATGGAACGGAAATAGCAGTCAAAAGACTATCGCAACATTCGGGACAAGGAGTGGAAGAATTTAAGAACGAAGTCCGGTTGATTGCGAAGCTCCAACACCGGAACCTGGTGAGAATACTAGGCTGCTGTGTCGAAGAAGACGAGAAAATGCTAATTTACGAGTATTTGCCGAACAAAAGCTTGGATGCCTTCCTTTTCGGTACATCCTCTGCTCTCCCACTAGCTAGAATACTCTGATTTCAAAGATCCACCCATGACGACAAACAATGGTTTGTTGATATCTTGATCTTGGTCCAGACGAAACGAAAAGATCGTTGCTGGATTGGAGAAAACGGTTCGAAATCGCATGCGGGGTGGCTCGAGGACTCTTGTACTTGCACCAAGATTCAAGGCTCAGGATCATCCACCGAGACTTAAAGGCCAGCAACGTCCTACTCGACGCTGCGATGAATCCGAAGATATCGGATTTTGGCATGGCTAGGATATGCGGCGGGGACCAAATCCAAGGAAACACAAATCGAGTTGTTGGAACATAGTAAGTATTTTCGCCATCGAAATGCTTTACGTGCTTATTGAGTCCAAGAACCTCAACTCAACTAATTAGTCAAAACCCCTTTTCTTATTCCTTCATTTTTGCTGCGGCAGCGGGTACATGTCGCCAGAGTACGCAATGGAAGGTATATTTTCGATAAAATCTGACGTCTATAGCTTCGGAGTTTTGCTGTTGGAGATCATCAGTGGCAAAAGGAACAGTGCATATTACCATGAAAATCCATCTTCCAATTTGGTATGCCATGTAAGTATTGGAACTCTTAATAAGTACAAGAGACAGGACTGGACTCACACATGATACATAGCCTGAAATACTCGCTTGTTCACAACACAATCGCAGGCGTGGGAGCTATGGAAAGAAGGAAACTGCGAGGACGTTATCGACGAGTCGATGGGTGATTCATGCTCCAGGGAGGAGGCCTTGAGGTGCATCCAGATCGGTCTTTTGTGCGTGCAAGAATTCGCGGAGGATAGGCCGAACATGTCCGCCGTCGTGTTCACGTTGGCTAACAAAGACGTGGTTCTCGCATCCCCGAAACGACCTGCATACGTTTTCAAGAGCAAGTACCATGGCGCGAGTCTGCCCGCAAGCGACAGAACCGCTTCTGCGAACGACGTAACGGTTTCGATGGTCGAAGGCCGCTAGTTTCGCCCTTCTATTGCCCTGGATTAGTTATAATATAACACAAATTCACTCTAAAATCCTAGTAGTTTATGGAAGGATTGCGTACTGGAACTCCAAGGTGTATTGAACCCGCTGAAGTCCGAAAGAGAGACATCTGCATGCCTCGGCTGTCAAACCGATGTGGAATGCTTATGTTCATAATGTTTGGTATGTTTAGGAATCCGCAAATTGCATGATGCTTGTTTTTCAGTTTAGCTTTGATACTTCGCTTAGAGATCCTAAGGTTGCGGTTCGATTTAGGTTACTCTCGTGATCTAATATATGCACAGTAGTACTAAGAGAAGTAAATCCATGAAAAATTTTGCGAGACCACTTTAAATATTCTGACACTCCCCCCCTCAAACGTAGGCTGAAATTTGGCATGAGAGTAACCTTGGAAAATTCATAATAATTGAGGCAAATAGGAGCCTCGAAAGATTTTAACTCGGACCTCCTCTTATGAGCTCTATTTGTTTCACGGAAAATAAATGATTTGAAAAAAATTTTCCTAAAAGTAATCGATTGTATTGCTTACAAAAAATGAATGAACGAAAAATATTTTCAATCATCCATAAAAATGTTTAGACTTAAATTGTTGTCGACATCCCATTGACTAATCATTTCGAGTAATACAAGCGATTATTTTTAGAAAAATGTTCTCCAAATCATTCATTTTCCGTAATATAAACGGAGCCTTAGAGTCATATAAAGAAAAAGGACAAGGTGGCTTGACCCTAATTGAGATTGCCCAATATGTATTTGTTACGGTAATTAACTAGAATCAGGGTACAGATACAAACATAATTACAGAAAGATCCACGACACATACCGATTACATATTAACATGGACCATTGAGGTGTTGTTGGATGCTTAATCATGAAAGATGGGGGTGGTACCAATGCTTATCCTCTTGCTTTTTGTTCTTAAATTCAATAACATTCCTCACCAACCCAAAATTAAAAAAAATCAAAAATTAAAATTAAGAAAGAAAGGGAAACAAGCCAAGTGGCTTTTTTCCGACACGGCTTAACTAAAAAGGGGCAGGCGCAAATCTTCTAGAGATTAGAAAGCGCAAAAAAGGTTCATTATTAAGCATGCAAAACCGGGAAAAATAAAAGGCTGAAATTGACCTAAGGCAAAGTCATTTGCGTGCACGACAATAAAGTTAAACCAAACCCCCCAAAAATTAATCAAAAATTAATTAATAAAGAAAATGCGAAAAAGAAATCAATTTAATCTATTATCAACGGCCCAGCTACCATACCACTAGAATTTTCAATTCTCGTGGATCACGTTCCAAACTTTTATTTTTTTTATTTTTTTAAATTTTTTTATATGTCTTGCCACGCCAGCCGGCCCCCTTCGTTGTGTGCTTTTTTTTTTTTTTTACCTCGCTTGGGTAAATCTTAACGTGAGGCCGAGATGGTCGAACCGGTCCATGTCGGCCGCCTCGAGCCATCACTTTCTTGACAGCTGGCAACGTGAATCTGTGCTAACGGGGAAGGAAGGAAGGAAGGTCGCCAAACCCCACAAAGGTCATTTTTATTTGGGTGCGTACCCCAAAAGGCAAGATATAGCGTATATATATTATATTTGCAAAAGAGAAATAGTCATGCAGATAAGATGGAGATACCAGTTTATTGAAAAAAAAAAAAAGAAATTAATCTATTAGGTGGTGGAAAATATTATTATATCCCGTGGTAAGGGCTCGGATGTGGTGCGTGAAGCGGATTGATCGTACATTGGAAGAAAGCGCCTGATCGCCTAATAGGGATGATTATGCAAAGGGAAGAATGTGGGGTGATTGATTGAGAGATTGGTGTTGGTTATCATGCGGGTTTGACTCTGAAGAGCTTAAAGCGAGATAGATGACGTTCGTTGGGTTGAACATGGAAATAGGTGGGCAGGACTGGTCGGTCGATGATTAAGTAAGGTAGCAAATGTAGGTGACCATCTCTTGGGAAATGGAGGTGGATGAGAGAGTCAGGTACGCTCCATCGGTACATACGCATTTTTGGAGAAGAAGGCGTCGGGAAGTGTAGATGGAAGGCTACTTCATTCTAAAAAGAGAGCTGGAGACTTGAGAGGGTTGATTTTTGAAGTGTTTGCCGGTAGCCAGAGCGCTCACTCCTCTGATTATGTCGTGAATATGGCATTCAATCGAGTGTTTTTATACACACGGAATGATACCAAATTAATTATGCAATGTGGAAAATTTGAGAAGTTTTTGGGATTAAAGAAAAGAAGAAAAAGAGAAATGTTGTCGACTTGAAACTTAAAGATCCCCATGGACGAACAAAAGCATTCTACATATCGATCATACTGATAATACAACGCAATTGACCAATTACATGAAACATTCGTATGCCCCATTTCAATGCACGTTTCTATCCTCGAGCCCCATCTCCATGAAGAGTACCTTGGGCATCCGTATTATATGCATCTCAACCAATTTTTTGCTTTTGAATTTTCAATGTCGGCTTCTTTAATTATTGCCTAGCATTTCTCTATGTCATTGTCACATAGTGTGATGATCACGTCCAAGACCTTCTATCTGTCACCACTTTCACTTTGCCACAAAGACATAGACTTGCTCATTTTCGCTTGAGACATTAGAGCATTGAGAGGACCTTTTCCTAGTACAATAGTGACCACCTCTTCATTTTCGTTTATTTTGTAGAAAATGACTGATTCAGATAACGTTTAACTAAAAATAATAATTTATATATCTTGAAATAATAATTATTTTTCATTAACGATAATAATTTATATTTAAATATTTTCATGAACGATAAAATTATTTCCTGCTCATTTATTTTTTGAAATGACACAATCGGGTAACTTTAGAAAATTATGTTTCGAATTATTTATTTTTCGCGGGAAAAACGCGCCGATACCGATCGTTCTTTTTATTTTTGGAGGACCAAGATCTAAAGAATTATGCTGTGATGGAAATCTCAATTCCATGCAAAGGTTTTTGTATCGCTAGATGTGACCTGGGTCAACTTCGAATGAGCAGAGGAGACACGATTGCGTGGCTCTAATTGCAATCCTTTTGTTCCTTTTTCTTTTTTTTCTTCGTGTGTGGTCAAATCAAATCCTGTAATTGCAATTCACTATTCACAATATGTGCCGTGCACGAGGTTGCACTAGGACAGACACGTGGAAAAGGTCTCCACTTCCATGAGCATCCTCATCGTTGACCTTTCTTTTAGGACACCGTGACACGACCCCAACATCGCGTGTTTTCGAGAAAACCGATCGGTCCCAAACTCATCGTATAGATATCTATCTTCCAAAATTCCACTATAATTCTTCCTATGACGCCGACCGTCTTGCATAATATACTATCACGTTAGTTATTTTCAACGATAATTATTTGGTAGGGCTCTTATAGCACAATAATTTTTGCGCTACTATTAAAATAACAGTATATTATGAGCCACAAATTCTCGAAAGAGTACAACTCGCAATAATTTCTAATTATTTTTTTATGGCCCAAAACAAGTTATTTTTCTCATAGTAGATTAACGACAACCACATAAGCATTTCTTTATGTAGAAGGATTATATTAAAATTTCGCTTAAAGTTTGTGACTGAATTGATATCTGTACAATATGTTTTGGACTGATTGGACAATTTCCCCATGTTTTTTGCAAGCTCACGAGCATTAGATCACCGATCATGTACGTTAGCATTGTATGGAGAATGATTTGAAGATACTTTCATAAAAATAATCGCTTAGAAAAATTAAATGAACGAAAAATATTTTCATCGTTAACGAAAATGTCTAGACATAAATTATGGTCGGTAATGGAATTTTTTCATCGACTGATTATTTCAAGAGATACAAACGATCATTTTCAGGAAACTACTTTCTAAATCATTCATTTTTAAACTCCATTTGTTTCGCTGAAAATGAATAATTCTGAAAAATATTTTCTTAAAAATGATCGCTTGTATTGCATATAAAGTTGAATGAACAAAAGGTATTCTCATCGGTCCACGACAATATTTAGACATAAAATGTTGCAAAAAATGAAAAAACATTTCTCATTAGCTGACTGACCCCGCAATCATAAATAATTTTTTTTTCTCGAGATAGCAAATTGACCCCACAATCTCAAATAATTTCCTTTTCTTTTGTTTCCTTTCAAATGTCATTTTCGTTTGCTCATTTCTTTCAAGCCACAAAGTAGCCAATTCGACCAAAAACAAAAAAGGAAGAGGGGGGGAAGGAGGAAATTAATAAAAAAAAAAAAATTTGCGTAAAGGAGGAAATTAATTAACAAGAGAAGAAACGCGTAGCTTGAGATAAAGGCACGAAGAAAGAGCCACGGATCTGGAGTTGACCCCACCACCACCCCATTCATCACGGGATTACCACTCTAAAATTATTCCAAACGGCATCGCCCCCCTCGACCGACACGTGGCAATTGAATCTGGCACTTCCGATCACCAAAGATATTCGATTGTTATGGACATTCCTTTTATAGACAAGGAAAGATAATATATCATACAACATTAATTCAACATTACCATTGATAAATTAATTTCCCCCCCCCCCCTTTTTTTTATTATCGATTTTGCTTTTTTTGCATTTTTTTTTTCGAATATCGGTTTCTCGATCATGGAATTCGTTATACGTATTTCATGTACAAGGGTCAGTCATTTGAATATTAAATCACGTCTTCGTTTGACAGCTCAATTTTTAGAAAACTTGGTCTTTCGTCCAATAGAATCTCGTTATTATAAGGGATAATGACATAAAAATGGTCCATGAGTTTTGGCCCAATATGCAACGTGGGCTCTAAACTTTACCCGATATACAATGTGGTTCCTGAATTTTAAATTTGTTCAATGTGATCCATGGACTTTTGATACACATTCAATTGACCTTTTGGACCGTATGAACTTGAATTGACGGAATGATAACATTAAACATTTTCGTACAGGTTATGGATTAAATTGAACATATACCAAAAGTCCAAGAACCAGATTGAACAGATTAAAAGTTGTACGATGAGCTATAGTTCGGGGATCACATTGAACAAATTTAAAGTTCAGGGACCATATTACACATCGGGTCAAAGTTCAAGAATCGTTTGTGTCCCTTGCCCTTGTTATATATACGGTCGACATAATATAAGTGTTAATTTTTTTTCAATAAAATGTATTTTTTTTTTAGGGGAGGGGGGAATATGTGTGATATAAAGCGATTCATGAAATTTCAAACGACACTTTACCTGTGGACCACCTATAAAAAAAAAAAAAACAAGAAGGGGAGAAAAAACTCCTCGTCATTCACGGGGAAACCCCCCAACCCCAACCCCAACACCGCGACCGGCAAGTGACTGTATACTTTTCCCCGTGAACAGCCGCGGGCCCCACGCCCCCTTCGCTTTCGTTACCAAAAAGACTTTTCCTCCCCCCCTCCTTTTTCGTTTTCCCCCCCCATAATGGCATTAAATTAAACGGACCGTTGGACCCAAAAGCGCACGCCGAAATGACCCTTTTGTCCCCACTTCCCCCACATCTTCTGCTAAAAAACAGGGCTTTTCCTTTTTTTTTTCCTTGAGAAAATGACATTAACAGTCTCCGAACTTTGCCTTAACGTGTAATGCGGCTCATAAACTTTTAATTTGTTCAATGTGATCCTTGGACTTTTGATACGTGTTCAATATAATCCCCGAACTATATGAAAATGTTCAAGTAGTCATTTCACTAATTCAAATTTAGTGACTACATTAAATATTTTTATATAGTTCAATGACTATATTAAATATGTACCAAAAGTTCGACCGCATTGCACGTTGGGTTAAAGTTCAAAGATCGTATTGAACAAATAAAAAGTTCAGAAATTACATTACCCATCGTTTCAAAACTCAAGGATTGTTCGTATCATTTTCCCTTGTTTTTCGTTTCTTCCTTCCCACTCCCATTCCCTTTTGTATCCGGGAAAGTAGCCCGACAAGAACCAATTGCTGATTGACTCGTGGGATTTCACCCATCCATGTGTATGTATGATGTACCACAGAGGTTGTCCTTTCGCTTGCGTTGTTCCTTAACTAGAATGAATGATGAGGGGAGGCCATGCCAAGGAACAAAGAGCGTGTACTTTTCCCTGGGGAGCGAGGGGTGGGGTTTGCTAGTGTTTTCTTCTCTTGTTTTTGGTTTCCCCGAAGGTTGAGATGAGACCCCCCCTTAGAGATCGTCTCGTGGGCGGTCCGCCGGATCCGCTATGAAGGACTGTGTCCACAGAATGAATGCTGAGGATAAGCGATCAATGTTGTTGCTCTCGGGATATCTCGCAGGTGTCGTGACTTAGAACACCGAGAGATGTGATGAAGTGGGGGGGGGGCTCTTGGACCGACCGCCCTTGGCTACTGGGTCATGGACCGACTGCCCTTGGCTACTAGGTCATGTAGTCTTGAAAGATGAATTTGAGCTTACTGACATGTTACGTTCCGATGTGTACTATTATCCCGTTCACGCATCTGTCGGCAGTTCCAATCGTTCGATCGAGTAAGGAGACTATCATATCTCGAGATAGACTTCACACTATGGAAGTCGATCTTTTTTTCACACAAATTGGTTCGGATCCACGGGGACTTGAGAGGGCGAGCAGCTACCACGCATCACTCCGCACAGATCGCTCCCGCCGCGAACCACCAAAACTAAAACCCTACTCTCAAAACGAGCATATGGAATCTTCAGCAATTGCGCAACTGCGGAAGGGAAATTGAATGCTGACCCTCGTCCCACCAAAAGCTTTCAACACGTCGCGGCAGCTATCTATCGTGCGGCCAAACTCGTGCCCCAAAATGCACACGCGTGTCACGGCACATACCATCGCAGCGGTTCCGACCTAGCGTAGCGTGCTCCAAGACTGCTCTCTTGCACGCACGCACGCACGGCCTTTGACGAAATCTAACGCTACGAAGTGCGAATTCGGGGGCATTGTCCGAACGTTCGCTCGTTTTGTCAACCTCGCTTGGCTTCTGCTGCTTTTATCTTTCGTTCCATGGGAGGAGTCTTCCAATTCGAACCCACGAAGCCGTTCTCTGTCTCTCATTCTGCGCCGAAAGCCTCCTCATAAACCCTGCAACGGCAGAGCGAGAACGCCATTGTCGGGGGAGGTCGAATATCTTTGCTGGGTGAAGGCCGAGGGGGAGCGCTAGAGGGTAGGGAGAGGGGAGAGGGAGAGGGGGCGAGAAGATGACGACCCAGTTGCCGGACGACTTCCGGTGCCCGATCTCGCTGGAGATAATGTCCGACCCGGTGATCCTGTCCTCCGGCCACACGTTCGACCGCGCATCCATCCAGCGGTGGCTCGACTCCGGCCACCGCACCTGCCCCATCACCAAGCTCCCCCTCCCCGACCGCCCCTCCCTCATCCCCAACTACGCCCTCCGCAGTCTCATCTCCAACTTCGCCTCCGGCGGCGGCGGCGGCTGCGGCGGAGGCTCCCGGGCCGACCCGGGTCCGAATCCCGAGCCCGGGGCCCTCGTGGCCGCCCTCACCTCCCGGGCGTCCCCGCTCGAGTCGAAGCTCGAGGCTCTGACCCTCTTGACCAAGCTCTCCAATCGCGACCCGGGTTTCCGCCGGCGGCTCACCGAGTCCGGCACCGTGTCGGTGGTCCTCAGCTGCGTTGACTCGGATGATGGGTCGTTGCGCGAGAGGGCGCTGAGCTTGCTGCTGAATCTCAGCTTGGACGACGATAACAAGGTGGGGTTGGTGGCGGAAGGGGCGATTTCGAAGATAGTCGGCGCGTTGAGGGCGGATTCGGCCAACTGCAGGGCGCTCGCCGCCACGATAATCACCAGCTTGGCGGTCGTGGAAGTCAATAAGGCCACGATCGGTGAGTACCCTTTTGCGATTGGTGCTCTGATTTCGCTTCTGAGGGATGGGAATGACAGGGAGAAGAAGGAGGCCGCGACGGCGCTCTTCGCCATATGCTCGTTCCCGGAGAACCGGAAGCGGGCGGCTGCGAACGGGTCGGTGCCGGTTCTGATTAGGGCCGCGGATTCGGGGCTTGAGAGAGCGGTCGAGGTGCTGGCGATGTTGGCCAAGTGCAGGGAAGGGAGGGAAGTGATGGGGAGGTGCGATGGGTGCGTGAGAGTTTTGGTGAAGATGTTGAGGAATGGGGGTTGTAAGGGAGTTCAATGTGCATTGCTGACTCTGTATTCGCTCTGTTGTTACAGTGAGAGAATTTGTGTGGAAGTGAGAAGGCAGGGGGTTTTGGAGATGTGCATTAGGTTGCTGGTGAATGATAATGAGAAGATTAGGAGAAACGCCACCAACTTGGCTCAGCTTCTTCAGGTTGATTCCGATTGTTCTGTGAGATGATCATTCGAGGGGTTAAATTTGCGGATGATTTTGAAGAGGTTGACATGAAATTGGACGCATGTTTTGTGGTCAAGGTTCGGTTTTTTGAATGATGCATAGGCGAGTCGGGTTTGTTGTTCTTGTGTCTTTCTTACCTTTTGTTGGATAGATTTCTGTACAGAGTTAAGAAAAACAAAAGAGTTAGATTTTATTGAAGGACATGTTTTCTGTATCTTGTATATCTGAATAAAGATAACAAGCATGAGCTGTTGCTCAAGTTTTACTTGATTCTTCCGTATTTTCTGGTGTTAAGAAAGTTCATTCTTCTCCAATTTGTTATTAAATGACTTCAAGAAATCTATTTGAATAGTGTAATAGATTCTTCTTTGGGTTGTTTGGTAATACTAGTAATGGAGGAAAGCTAGTTCTATAGAGTGAGTTTTGCTTTTCCATTTGAAGCTAGTGACTGGAAGAAGAGGAAACTGGAGGCATTTTTCTGTACTAGGGGTGTTACCCGTTCTGTCAAATTAGTTGTTTCTCTGATGGTAGCATTGAGAGTCTGAAATGAGTTTCATTCCAATTGTCCGATCTGATGTGTTCAAACTGTGCGAAAATGTTCGCCTGTTCGATTTCTGATACTCTCTATATTATCTCATGAGGTTTTAATCTGGTCTGGCCATGATTGATTAGCTTCTTTTGTATGGCCTTTAGATTATCCACTTCATGGGGGTCTGTAGATCTTCCACGTGAATATGCCTCGCTACCCTAAGTTAGCAACTTTAAGGTCTCACTCATTCCATATGTTCTGTATCATTGCGAAGGAAATTTGGCGAGAATTTTCTTTCACTTAGATCCACTGTCCTCGTTTTAACATTTATCACTTGTATTTGCCTTGCGATACTTTTAGATGTTCGACATTTACCCTGTTGGCGTATGGAAAATTAAGGCCGATCCTGATGTAGAAATAGTTTATGCACACTATAGTGGCAAAGGGATATAGTGAGAAGGACTGTTCTTTCTCTCTCTCCCCCTCTGCCCACCCTGTTTATTGCTGGTCATCGAGCCAATTGCAAATAAATGTCAATTGCTGCAATATCGAGAGTTTCCTTGGCAAGTTCTCAGTCGACTAGCTTCCCGGAGTGTGAGTAATGCGCCGGAGACCTTAACTGGTCTGCCTCTTTCGACCCTTCCCAAGTGGGTTCTTCTGCTTCCCTTTACGAGTTTCATTTTGCTCGACTTCATTGCGGTGCGAATAGGAGTTGCAGTGGGTTGGTCACTTTAGGCAAATCTTGGTACACCTGACTTGAAACTCTCTCTCTCCCTGGTCAATCCGGGTTTGGTGGGTCTCTCTCATCTTCTGTTGTTATCTTCACACTACAACTGCCGAACTTGAAGAGAGCATTAAAAAAGGCTTGCGTTTGTTGCTTGAAAAGCGACTAGAGATGTGCACGAGTTTGCACTCTGTTGACCTGATCCGGTCTCCTCTTTCTCTGCAACATGTTCACATTGATTATTGATTCATGTATGCGTTGCGCTCGGCGGTGGTTGCCGGCGGATGAGAGAGACGTGGCTAACAAGAGAAAAAGGTTTGGCTACAAGCCACCATTGTTGGATAATGAAAGGTTTGGCATGCTTTGTGGAAAGGGTTGAACCGGCCTAGACTGTCTTGTGCTTTGGATGCAATTATAAGTGGTAATATTCTGGAATGTGAATGCAAAGTTGGTTTTGCTTGTTTATAATAAATTGCAATTTAAGTACCTTACGAAAGAGCTCACGTCTTAGGGTTTTCACGTCAATAAAGAGGCAGCAACTAAGGGAAGCCTTTTTCTTTTTCCATTGTGTTCTTTTCTTTTCCATGGAGTTTCCGTGGGAAAGGACGCATATTTCCGTAGGGGCCGATGTATTCCTCTGATCCTTATCGAAAGAAACTCCCTTCAACCATGCTTCTAATTTGCATGTTACACATTACGAATATCACCCACGTCCAAATTTAACTAGAATTAGATGTGGGTAAGGTTGACGCTCGTAACCTTCTAAAGAAAAGCCGATATCGAAAAAGACCAAATACCCTTTTTCTTGCAAGCTCATTGCAGTGTCTTGGTTGGGATTTAAGTGGTTTTGAATGTTTCGTGTGGGTGTGAGAATTTAGGATCTAGGAACGAGCATCTTTGGGAGAAAATGATATTTTCATAAATATGGACATAAGGATAATCAATATAAATATGCAAACAGGTCTCCAAAGGTAAAACGTGTGTTCTTGGTATTTTCACCAGTAGAGATATGTAACTATGTAAGTAATCATTGGACGAGAGATGGTGTATTTTTTTTGGTAATTTCCCTTTTTTCAATAAAACACCCAAGATTTAATAGATTATTGAGAGAAGGTTATATAAGTTCTTGAAAAGTGTCGTATGTGAATATTCATCCTTATGTCTTATGTGTCATGATCCCAAGGTTTCAGATACACAAAGGGCCGTGCACGATTCAAGAAGACCGGGCCGTCTCCTAGGATTTCCGAAGTTCTCTAGAATATTCTCGAGGACAAACGATATAATAAATGTATCGAGTTCTAGAGCATGCTCGGCATAAATGCCGGTAGTTGGTAGACGGGATAGGGAGATGCAATCTCCACCATTAGATCTAGAGTTGATCGACGACTGTAATGAGATGACTTCTTATATAAATAGGGGTGCTCTTCTCTTCATTTGTAATCACCAAACGCTTGAGCGATAGAAATATTCTCTTCTAGAGCTTCTCTCTCTAACTCTTTCTCTCTACGATCTGGGTTGGTTAGCAAGCGATCGATCCCTAGGAAAGTCTTGAGTTAGGTGATTCATTGATCCAAAGGAGTCTAAGTCACCGCACGGTCTCGATCCCAAGCATCAGCCCGTGACATATATGCATGTTTCCGTAGGCAAAGATCCTTAGATGTGTTGGGCTCAGGATGAATTCCACATGATACAACAAAGTTTTAGGTGATCCATGGACGAATATCTTGTCAGGTCCATCCTGGTCATAACCAAATTACGGGCGTCATGGCCCTCCTGAAACTCCAATCGAATTTTGGATATGTTCAAGAATACCTAACCACTTTATGAATAAGGAGGATTAATCCCATAAGTTGACAAAATGTTATTTTGGGATGGACCTAACTCATCTTTGAAAGGTAGATACATTGAATTTCCTAAAGGTAAGTTGTGAAATTCAATCAGGGTGGAATTCAAGTTGACAAATTAGCGGTTACCTAATCGGAGCAGCTATATATGAGATGCTGGTAGTAAATGTCGTAATCCTATGCATTAGATTAATCACAATTGACTAATTGAGGCATTTCTTTAAGGAAGTATGATTAGATTATTCACCATTTGAAATCAGAAAAGTCAATTTGAAGATATGTCTATCTTATGTGTAAGGCTCTATAGTCCTACTTTCCAATTGGTCCAAATTTGACCTCAATTTCGAATTATGTTATGTCACCTATCTAGCCTTTGTGAATTGATAAAAAAAAATCACTTTTTTTTGCTTGACTTGAGAATAATAAGGTTCTGTCATATAGATTATATTTTCCCTCCTTTTCTTTTCTAGACCTTTCCAATTCAGAAGTTTACGGTCTTGGGATAGTAATTAGTCCGCAACTTGGCATTAAAATTTACAGTAACGTGGATTGCAATAATGACTATTACGTTACAGGTCTATTATAAATTATTTGCATACTTGCAATTATAGCAATAACAGCATAATCTCTATTTCAATAAAAATTACAACAGCTATTACACGACCCCGTGTAATAGCTTATTGTAGATTGACTGTAATGGCTATTTCTCTCTTTTCTCACACTTACTCTATCAATGTTAGATTATTAATTATAATTACGAGCTACATTAATTATTACTGAGCTTATTAATTTACCCCAAACTAATTTTTTGACTATAAAAAATCCCAAACTGATACACTTGTGACAAATTTACTCAAAACTAATTTTTTGACCACAAAAAACCCCAAACTGGTAAATTTGTGACAAATTTACCCTCCGTTCGTTTCCGTTAAATTGGATTAATACAAAAAAAATTCATAAACTGGTACACCTGTGACATATTGAGGGTAAAACCCAAAACTTGTACATCCGTCAACTACCACGTGTTATTTAAAAAAGTAATTTAATTGTAAAATTTAACAGAAACTAACAGAGAATAAATTTGTTACAAGTGTACGAGTGTGGGGTTTTTGGTGGTCAAAATATTATTTTGAGGTAATTTGTCATAGGTGTAGCGGTTTGGGGTTTTTCGTGATATTAACCTTGAATATAATGGCAAACACGTAAAATATTGATGATTAATTGTGCTGTCTTTTTATAATATATAGCTATTTGTTATATTTGAACGTATCCGTAATAATGATTATATATTACTAAATGCATTAATTGATATTCAAATTGTTGCATGATTTTATTTCAAATTCCATCATACTACTCGTTATAATAACTAATATGTGTTTTAACATAATCCCATAATATAACTAAAATTTTATGATAATTATAAATGAATTATCAAAAATCAAATAAAAAGTTATATATCAAAATGCAATACTTTTTATATATAGGATATTAAACCCATGATTAGCTATTAAAATGATAATTATTGTATATAATTTTTATTTTTATATACTCATATTATGTGCTTAAATTTTAATTCTATTCATAATTTATTGAAATACTAAAAGATTAATTATCCAAGGACCCAGGCACAGAGGCGCAGCTATGTGAAGGCCCACGAAACGCCTTGCAAAGTCCCATGAATTGGTAAAATCTAGGGCTTTGGCCTATAAATGTGGCCCCGATTTGATAGTTTGCACACAATTGTTAGAATTCGAACGGGTGACTTCCCTTCCCAATTTGCAAATCATGCAACGCCCCAACTAATAACGACAACTCTTGGGCGATAGATATAAGTAAATATTTGATAAAATAAATTTTGCATCTAATAATACATGCGAGCCATTAGACTCGCGAACCATATCAATCTTGATTTCAGGGGAATTTTGAGAATTCTCATGCTAATCTCGCTTTTGCGTATGTCAATCATAAAACTAAACAGTGAAAGTATTACAATACTTAAAGAAAAGAGTTCAATAGGTATTACAACTCTATTACATTACGGCGTAATTCACGTACTTATCTCATTACTGCAACCAAATGGGCTGTTAGCGAATGATAATTCAAATAGGTTAAATAGCTGGTTGATAAAAAAAAATGGGACTTCTCGTAGCATGAAGTTTTAGGCGTGATTTTCACTCGACCTATGGTAAGCTCTTGAGGCCATTTACGAAGAAGTGATTCTTTGCTAGTCTTGCCAATCGTGCCATTGCAAGCCAATATATTTATGCCTTCAGTTTTCCATTAAAACATTGCACATCAGGTCAAATGATAAAAAGCGAACATTGTTATTTATTTCTTCAGGACGCAGAGGTGCATGCATAGAGATTAGCCTATCTGGATAGGAGGATCAAGGAACACTTTACAAGCCTCATAAATCGATTAATTTTAAGCCTTTTTACATGTTGCATGTCGCTCTAAATTAGAGATTTTTCACGTGATGGTAGTATTTGAATGATGAAATCTCTGACGCCCCAATCAATTATGCAAAAGAAAGATGGAAAAAAGCAGCAATTTCGTTAATCAATTGTGACGATAGGCTTACATGCTGGCCTGCCATCCCAGCATTTGGGCCGGCCCAATTTACCTTTCAATTGTCGAAGGTGAATTGCAATTTGCCGAGAAGCCCAATTGAGCCTAGCAAATGGTCAAGATTGCTTCTTCCCAGCAACACTATTGTAGTCGCGGATCGTGTTCGTGTCGTGTCAATTTGGAGCATAATGTTAGATAACTCGATCCCGACAAGGCCATTCAACTTTATTATAAGTATATCATTCAATTAATCATGCATGCCAGACCTTCGCCTCTAACATAACATAACCAGCTTGCTAATCGGTAGTACGGACGTGGTAAGGATATGAACGGCTCGATATATAGGTGAAGTGGATCATTGTAATTCCGAGCACAATCCACCATAGAAGTATCTATCAAAGTATACAATG